AGGGGGGGGGAAGCGCCCGGACCGGGGGGGGAAAGGGGGGGGGGGGGTAAAGCGCCCGGACCGGAAGGGGGGGGTAAGCGCCCGGACCGGAAGGGGGGGGGTAAGCGCCCGGACCGGAAGGGGGGGGGTAAGCGTCCCCGGACCGGAAGGGGGGGAAAGCGCCCGAACTGGAAGTGGTTAAGTCATGTGTACTGTAAAAAAAAAAGTAAAATCGCGGCAAGAACGCAAAGGCGGTTTTTGCCGCTTTTTTTTCTTTGGATTGGTGTGATATCGGCCAATCTCGCTCTTCTAGACAAATGAAAGCCATTAGCAGTGTCTCCTTTCATGTTTCTATTGGCAGTGAGGGCGCTGCGTGGGCGGTGTTGTAGATTAGAGGAGACGCGTGGCGCCCCCTGACACCCCAGGAAGGCCCGGCCACGCCCCAACGCTGTCATGGCTGATGTGTGCCGGGACCACGAGATCAGATCTGTGAGGAGGAATAATGAATGAAGTCGGACATCAGATCAATGGCGGCTGTTTGTAGCTCCAGGAAGCCGTCACTGAGGGCGTTCTGTATTTATGTGAATATGGATCCGTGCGCTGGAAAGGTCTCCGCCGCGCACCGCCGGGAGGGGAACCTTTACACGCCGCGCGCCGGGAGGGGAACCTTTACACGCCGCGCACCGCCGGGAGGGGAACCTTTACACGCCGCGTACCGCCGGGAGGGGAACCTTTACACGCCGCGCACCGCCGGGAGGGGAACCTTTACACGCCGCGCACCGCCGGGAGGGGAACGTTTACCGCCGCGTACCGCCGGGAGGGGAACGTTTACACGCCGCGTGCCGCCGGGAGGGGAACGTTTACACGCCGCGTGCCGCCGGGAGGGGAACGTTTACACGCCGCGTGCCGCCGGGAGGGGAACGTTTACACGCCGCGTGCCGCCGGGAGGGGAACGTTTACACGCCGCGTGCCGCCGGGAGGGGAACGTTTACACGCCGCGTGCCGCCGGAGAGGGGAACGTTTACACGCCGCGCGCCGCCGGGAGGGGAACGTTTACACGCCGCGCGCCGCCGGGAGGGGAACGTTTACACGCCGCGCGCGCCGGGGGGGACCGTTTACACGCCGCGCGCCGCCGGGAGGGGACCGTTTACACGCCGCGCGCGCCGCCGGGAGGGGGACCGTTTACACGCCGCGCGCCGCCGGGAGGGGAACGTGTACACGCCGCGCGCCGCCGGGAGGGGAACGTTTACACGCCGCGCACCGCCGGCCGGGAGGGGAACGTGTACACGCCGCGCACCGCCGGGAGGGGAACGTTTACACGCCGCGTACCGCCGGGAGGGGAACCTTTACACGCCGCGTACCGCCGGGAGGGGAACCTTTACACGCCGCGTACCGCCGGGAGGGGAACCTTTACACGGAAAAGAGAATCTCGCTTCATGCCGTGTCTTGGTTTTGTGGTCGCCATAATCAGACCTCTGGGGGGGGGGGAGGGGGGGGGGGGGTTGGGGGTCTTTTTAAAGGTTGCTTCTTAAAGGCATAAAATACGTTCCGTTGTTCCCCTCCCCCTCCATCTATCAGCATGCAGTTACAAATTTTCAATCGATTTCAGTTTCAAAACACTTTGAGGCATCCACACTGGGCCTGTCTGCAGCTTTTCGCTCCCAGTTTGGTGAGAGGGGCCCACAGGCTCCTGGAAACATCACAGTGTTGTGCCCCAGAAGAGCGTTCTATGGAAGAACACATCCCTGGCATCCCTTTAGACTTGCGTCTCCACACTTTTCTGGATGAGGGCACCGTTTTATATTTTACAAATATTTAGGGGCCAGTAAAATCCCCATCGGAGTCCCCCCTTGCATTTGGAGCCCCCATCGGGGTCCCCCTTGCATTTGGAGCCCCCATCGGGGTCCCCCTTGCATTTGGAGCCCCCATCGGGGTCCCCCCTTGCATTTGGAGCCCCCATCGGGGGTCCCCCCTTGCATTTGGAGCCCCCATCTGAGTCCCTATTAAAACTGGAGCCTCCATATGGGTCCTCCTTACATTTGGAGCCCCCATTTGAGTCCCCCTTACATTTGGAGCCCCCATTTGAGTCCCCCTTACATTTGGAGCACCCATTGGGGTTCCCCCTTACATTTGGATCCCCCTTTGGGGTTCCCCCTTACATCTGGAGCCCCCGTCGGGGTCCGCTTCGCATCTGGAGCCCCCGTCGGGGTCCGCCTTGCATCTGGAGCCCCCGTCGGGGCCCCCTGTTGGGGTTCTGCTACATTGGGGGGGCCCCATTGGGTTTTGCTACATCTGTGGGGGCCCCATCGGGTTCTTCCCCTTGCATTTCGGGGGCCCGCCCCTTATATTAAGTGCAGACCTTATTCCTCACTCACTGCACTTTGAGGATACACCACTGACCCTAGTTGTGCACCGGATAAAATCTTGTAGTGGGCAGAATGTGGCCCTCAGGCCGTAGTCAGGAGACCCCAGCATTGGATGTTTGTTTCTCTCTGCTGACCATGGGGAGCTGCAGACTTTAGCTATGCAATCTAGTGATCAGTTGCTTGATTTGCGATTGATCAGCAGATTGCACAGCTAAAATCTGCACAAACCAGGGAATATGCACGTCCTAAAGGCTTTGTACAATTTCAAATGTTATACTCACCTGCTCTGTGCAGTGGTATTGCACAGAGCATCAACAAACCACCTCTTATGGAGTCCCCTGCCCCTGTGACCCCATAGCAAACGGTTTGCTATGGGGGGAGAAACACCTGCAGGCTCCCAATGCCCAGACCACCCGCTCCCTCCTCACAGGATTTGACTGACAGTAAGAGCCAATGGGTTCCACTGCTGCCTCTGTGCCTTTGAGGGGAGAGAGCAGCAGGCACAGTGCTGGATCGAAAGCGGAGCAAGGTAAGTATTTAGGGGGGCTGGGGGGAGCTGATACTGGGGGATTTCAATGCCAAAAAACCTTCTGCCTTTACAACCATTGTATCTTGGTATTGGTGTAGTTGTATTCGCTGTGTTTTTCGTGTGCCTTATCTGGTTATGATGGGCTCACTTGTTGTGGCTACCGTTTTTATAGCATCCTGGCTGATCGATTCCACTATGTCCATGCATTCATTCAACTAGCTTGTCCCTATTTGCCCAAAGGGCAAGACAGCGTCCTGTTCCGGGGCGTGCAGCATCCAATCCATGCTTCACCCATCCGCACCACAAATGTGATGAAAGATGCCATGGTAATAACGTGTTGATTGCTCTGTTTGTGCCTGTGTCAGAGCTAATTACTCTTTGGTTCTCACCTGCACCAGTGCTAGGCCGAGACACCCAGAGATTGTGGGAGATGTAGTTTCTTCACAGGCAGTGTCAGTTCTCACACTACAGACAGACGTCATGCTGTAAACTGTGCAGTACCATGCCGCTTGCTCATGTTTGAACAGAAACTGCTGACACAGGAATATGAAGATTTATTCTGTACGACATTACATCAGGGGTGCCAGTAACGTTTTGGGTTGGGTTGGTTGTTGGGTTTGATTTTTTTTTTTTTTGGGGTTGGGTTTTGTTTTGGGTTGGCTTTTGTTTTGGGTTGGCTTTTGTTTTGGGTTGGCTTTTGTTTTGGGTTGGCTTTTGTTTTGGGTTGGCTTTTGTTTTGGGTTGGCTTTTGTTTTGGGTTGGCTTTTGTTTTGGGTTGGCTTTTGTTTTGGAGTGGCTTTTGTTTTGGAGTGGCTTTTGTTTTGGAGTGGCTTTTGTTTTGGAGTGGCTTTTGTTTTGGGTTTTGGGTTGGGCTTGTGTGGGGTTGGGGGGTTGGGTTGGTTTTGGGTTGGGGGTTGGGTTGGGTTTGGGGGTTGGGTTGGCTTTTGTGTTGGGTTGGCTTTTGTGTTGGGTTGGCTTTTGTGTTGGGTTGGCTTTTGTGTTGGGTTGTGTTGTGTTTTGTTTTGGGTTGGGTTTTGTTTTTTTTTGGTTTGGTTTTGTTTTTGGGGGTTGGGTTGGGTTGTGTTTTTGGGGGTGGGTTGGGTTTGGTTTTGGGGTTGGCTTTTGTTTTGGGTTGGCTTTTGTTTTGGGTTGGCTTTTGGGTTGGGTTGGCTTTTGGGGTTTGGGTTGGCTTTTTGGGTTGGGTTGGCTTTTGTGTTGGGTTGGGTTGGCTTTTGGGTTGGGTTGGCTTTTGGGTTGGGTTGGGGGGTGTTGGGTTGGCTTTTGTGTTGGGGGTGGGTTTTGTTTTTGGGTTGGGTTGGGTTTTTTGGGGTTGGGTTGGGTTTTGTTTTTGGGGTTGGGTTGGGTTGTGTTTTTGGGGTGGGTTGGCTTTTGTTTTGGGTTGGGTTGGCTTTTGTTTTGGGTTGGGTTGGCTTTTGTTTTGGGTTGGGTTGGGGTTGTTGTTGGGTTGGGTTGTGTTTTTGGGGGGGGGGGTTGGGTTTTGTTTTGGGGGGGTGGGTTGGGTTTTTGTTTTGGGGGTGGGGGGTGTTGGTTGTGTTTTTTTGGGTTGGTTTTTGTTTTGGGTTGGTTTTTTTGGGTTTTTGGGGTTGGGTTGGGTTTTGTTTTGGGGTGGGTTGGGTTTTGTTTTGGGTTGGGTTGGGGTTGTGTTTTGCTTTGAGGGTTGGGTTTTGGGTTTGGGTTTGTTTTTGGTTTTGTGCTTTTGGCTTTATATTTTTGGGGGTAGTGCTGACCCGTGTTGTGTCCCTACGACATTACATCAGGGGGTGCCAGTAACGTGTTCTTTCATATAAACAAAAATGTTGCGATTGCTGTGATTTGGCATCACGGCATTCATTGTACAGAGCCGTTCTGATCAGCTCTGTGCACCGTGTCTGTGAACCAAGCTGTCCGATGACACTCCATCCGTTATCGGGTGCGCTGGCCTCCCAGGGCCTTTTATAAATTGCACTCCAGAAATACACATGGAGGGTACTCAGAGATGAGTTTGTATCCTTCTTCTTGAATAGTCTGTTGGCATTATCCTTTTATTTCTTCTATTACAAATTCTGTATGAAAATGTTCATTATGGTGACGGGACTTGGCGTGTTGACTCTCTCCTGTCCCTGCAGGCCTGCGTGTGACCGTGCTGCTGACCTTGGTGTTCATGGTGCTCGGAGGCGGTCTGCGATGTGTGCCCGTGTCGGACTTGTCACTCAGGAGAAGGTGAGATTGTGCGATTTTTATTATTTTTTTTTTTTTTCCTAATAGTGATTTGTAACATAAAGTGGTTGTAAACCTCTGAAATGAAAAAAAAAAATGAACAAAGCATATTCTTATATAGTGTGTGTAGCTGCCTCAATCCAAAGCACTGGTGTGTGTTATTACTGTCTGCTGTCTGCTTCCTCTGCTACCTGAGCCAATTCTGGCAGTCTATATGAACACCAAGGGTCCTGGGAGATCCCGCCCCCCTTCCACAGCACACAGAAGGTGATTGACAGCCTCCTTCTTCCTCTATCTGCATGAGTCATTTTGTTGGGTGACAAGTTATGCCGACGCTCTTGAATCCTGGGAGATGCCCCCCCCCCCCCCCCACGACCACCCACCCCCATAGTACCCAGAAGGAGATTTAACAGCCTCAGCTGTGCATGATCCCATATGTGACTTTGCAAATGTGGGGTGCCATTCCCTACACTCAGGTCTCAGATTACACTCAGCTCTGTGGTGTGTGATATCAAATCTCCGCCCCCTGCCTTGCGGAGCTAAGGAATGCCATGTAAATGTGTGCTTTAGGAGGCTGTAGAGTAGAGAAGACGGCAGGAGGATTTGTTTCATCTCTGTGTATCACCTGAGGCCGGTCACTGCACTGGGGATATGGAGGGTCTACAACCAACTAGGAAGGTGTTGCCAAGGTAGTTTTTTTTTTTTAATGCATGGGCAAAGCAACAGGTTCTCTTTAATAGCTCCCTCCCCAACCGCCTATACAAAGTGGTATCAAAAAGTTTCAAGATTAGTTTAACACGCCAACGGAAGGCAGTACAAGGCTGCACGCACAGTCACAGGGAGCACCGACCAAAGCAATATCCTGGATAATGTCTACATATTAGGACAGTTTCAGGGATCAAGAATGAGTGCCCCCTATCATCATATGTGTTGGGCTGCGCTTGGTGGTCCCAATGTATAGGTGAGGCATTGTTCCATGAGGCATAGGAGTTCGGTTCACGCCTGTGCGATGAAAGCAGTTAGAACATGCACTGTTATTTTTATTGGGTTTTGGGTTTGGTGTTGGGTGGGGTTTGGTGTTGGTGGTGGGTTGGGTTTTTGGTTGGGGGTTGGTTTTAGGTTGGGTTGGGGGGTTTGGGGGTGTTGGGTTGGTTTGGTGTGGGTTGGGTTGGGGGGGGTTTTGGGGGTTTAGGGTTGGGTTGGGTATTAACCATTGCAAAACTGACAAGACGCAAACTGCATTGGTGTGAACCAGGCCTGAAATGCATTTAAAACGCATCAAAAACGCACACGTGATGTGTTTAGTGGTTTTGATCTGCCCTGCAACAAGTTGGCCGACAAAATCATTCAAAAGCACAAAGCGCAGCAAAAGCACACGTGTTGCATTTTGAGTCACGTGACCTGTGAAAAACGCACCCTAATTGTAAGAATTGCCGCTAAAATTGGGTCTTCCTATGCTTTCCTACGCAGCCCCCATCCAAAGGTGTCCCCAACCCAAGAATAGATATAGGAAGAAAAACTCCATTTATTAAACTGGTATATAAACACTCACATTATACCATAGCCATACCGGCGATATCGCATACCATAAGGTATGAGCATCCTATCCTTTGCCCACTTCTGGGTCTCGTCTTGCGTGATGGCGTCACCTCCACTAGTTCCGCTTGACGCGTTTCGTCACATGAGATGTCATCAAGGGGGAGTGTGGCATATTTTTGTATACGTTTTTTTTTTGGGGTTGGTATCCTAATCCTTCGCACTCGCTGCTGTTTTCAGTTTTGATTTTTGCACCCAAGCCTGGAGTTCCTTTTTCTTTTTTTTTTCCTTCTATGTTTACAAACACTCAGACTCACAATCTGGCTGTTTCTTCTACCTGAAAAGCAGGGAGAAAAATCAGCCAGATCTGTGAGTAAAAGCAGCACATATTACACTTGTTAGGCACACAGCTAACCCCTTAATGTTAACCCCTTCCCAGCCGTTGTCAGTAGTACATTATACAATATTATTGCTGTATTGGTGCCACTAGTATATCGGAGTCAGTGTCGGTTAGCGCCAGATTGCCCACCACACTATCACAATCAAACTATAAGTCACAGACACCGCTCCATGTATATGTTGGTCGCTGGTGAACGATCCCTGACTGCATTATGTGATCGCTCTTTCTTCTGCTGGCGACGTTCACACCACACTCAAACGCGCGAATTGATCAGGGGCTATTTTTAGCTGCTCACATCGATGCGCCGCGTTCCTGACCGGCGGTATCGATTACTATTGTTTCCTTTGCATTGACTGCAGCTGCCTGGCTGAGAAGACAGAATGCGGGCTGGATGGAGCAATCCGACTAAACGAGGAATCCATCTCTCATTTACAGTGGAAGTAAAACCTTCCGTATCCCCAGTAGGTGATACATAGACACTAAACAAATCCTCCTACATACGTTGTACCGGTTTATCTGGAGCACTCTCTTCTCTACATCCATTCAAAGTTCAGGCTTTATACAGCTTGTCTGAAAGTTCAGAAAAAAGGGGGCAGTGAGCTGAAATTACACCCTGCAGAGCACAGTGAGGAGAGTTCTAAGAGCTGATTGGAGGGAAGTGACACCCCCCTCCCCTTCACACAGGAACAGAGCTGAGGCTGTCAATCACAGGCTGTGTACACTATAGAGGGATATACTTTGTTCTTATTTTATATCTGAGGTTTTTATAGCCACTTTAACCCTTTCGCTGCCCAGTCCGTTTGGACCTGACAACGGGACTTTACACACAATCCAGATTGTCAGATGGAAGCAGTCGGGTGGCTTCGCTGCTGCCCCATTCTTGCACAGCCCCTGGTAATGGGACACCACCTCCCAACAACTCCCCCCCCCTTTCTTGTCACTCGGAAAGCAACGTGCGTGTGATGTCACTTCCGGGGGTCACCGCTGTCACTCTCCCCGGCAAGATAAGCTGGGGAGACCCTGCATGTCTCATTAAAGAGAACCTGTCACCTAAAAATCACGTGCTGGAAAAAAAAAGTTGAAAAAATTTTTTTTTAGTTTTGTTTGCAAAAAACATATACTGTACACCCAAGCACATAACATCCCCCACCCCCACATATGTGCACATACCATCATAAACGCACACTTTGGCGCTCCTACGCCTAGTGAAGGCAATAATTTTAGCACCTCCATAACACAAAACTGATGACCTAACGGGGGGTTTTGAAGCGTCGCCTTCAGAAAATATGGGGTATGAATAGGGATGCACCGAAATTCCGGTGACCAAAACGTTTCGCCTGAAAACACCCCTTTAGGCCGTTGGCAAAATGGGAAAAAAACACCGATACAGGTGCCGAAAAAACCTCGCCGCTGCCGCCACCGGCCGCCGTTCGGTAGTTCCAAGCACACTTCAAGTCCCAGCTTTTTTTTTTTTTTTTTTTTTTTAAAAGCACTAGATAAATGTTCGTTTTTTTTTTTGTTTGTTTTTTTTTTTTATCCAATGCTTTACATTGCAGAGGAGAGATGTGGGGGTCAATACACCTCTCTCCATAAAGAGGACCTGTCACTAATTATTTTTATCACAAGGGATACATGCATTTCTTGTGATAAGAATACAAGTGATTAAACTTTTTTTTTTTTTAAAGGGACAGTGCAAAAAAAAAAGTTTAACGCGCGTGAATGCGGGGTCCGGGGAGAGCAGATATAGTGAATGCGGGGTCCGGGGAGAGCAGATATAGTGAATGCGGGGTCCGGGGAGAGCAGATATAGTGAATGCGGGGTCCGGGGAGAGCAGATATAGTGAATGCGGGGTCCGGGGAGAGCAGATATAGTGAATGCGGGGTCCGGGGAGAGCAGATATAGTGAATGCGGGGTCCGGGGAGAGCGGATATAGTGAATGCGGGGGGTCCGGGGAGAGCAGATATAGTGAATGCGGGGTCCGGGGAGAGCAGATATAGTAAATGCGGGGTCCAGGAATAGCGGATATAGTGAATGCGGGGTCCGGGGAGAGCGGATATAGTGAATGCGGGGTCCGGGGAGAGCGGATACAGTGAATGCGGGGTCCGGGGAGCAGATATAGTGAATGCGGGGTCCGGGGAGAGCAGATATAGTAAATGCGGGGTCCAGGAATAGCGGATATAGTGAATGTGGGGTCCGGGGAATGTGAATGCGGGTCCGGGGAGAGCGGATATAGTGAATGCGGGGTCCGGGGAGAGCGGATATAGTGAATGCGGGGTCCGGGGAGAGCGGATATAGTGAATGTGGGGTCCGGGGAGAGCGGATATAGTGAATGTGGGGTCCGGGGAGAGCGGATATAGTGAATGCGGGGTCCGGGGAGAGCGGATATAGTGAATGCGGGGTCCGGGGAGAGCAGATATAGTGAATGCGGGGTCCGGGGAGAGCGGATATAGTGAATGCGGGGTCCGGGGAGAGCGGATATAGTGAATGCGGGGTCCGGGGAGAGCGGATATAGTGAATGCGGGGTCCGGGGAGAGCGGATATAGTGAATGCGGGGTCCGGGAATAGCGGATATAGTGAATGCGGGGTCCGGGGAGAGCGGATATAGTGAATGCGGGGTCGGGGAGAGCGGATATAGTGAATGCGGGGTCCGGGGAGAGGGGATATAGTGAATGCGGGGTCCGGAGAGAGGGGATATAGTGAATGCGGGGTGTGGGGAGAGCGGATATAGTGAATGCGGGGTCCGGGGAGAGCGGATATAGTGAATGCGGAATGAGCGGATATAGTGAATGCGGGGTCCGGGGAGAGCGGATATAGTGAATGCGGGGTCCGGGGAGAGCGGATATAGTGAATGCGGGGTCCGGGGAGAGCGGATATAGTGAATGCGGGGTCCGGGGAGAGCGGATATAGTGAATGCGGGGTCCGGGGAGAGCGGATATAGTGAATGCGGGGTCCGGGGAGAGCGGATATAGTGAATGCGGGGTCCGGGGAGAGCGGATATAGTGAATGTGGGGTCCGGGGAGAGCGGATATAGTGACTTCGATAGAAGTCAGACTGGCTGCTGGTTTCTGTTGAACCGGCCGATACCGCCTAATATTCGACCCGTGTGCGTGACTTAAGCGTGTAATGGGTGGAGAAGGGGTAGTATATTTGTGTACATTGGGGGTTTATATAGGGGCATATCTGGTTCCACTGAACGGAAGATATGGGGTACAGGGTATGATATATCAGAGTATACAAGGACTTACAGGTTAAGAAAAATGGGGGAGGGGTATATGGGGGAGATTTGGGGTACAGGGAGGGATATATCAGAGTATACGAGGAGTTGCTGGTTAAGAGAAATTGGGTTTATTTGGGTACATTGGGGCTTATATCGGGGTACACTGATATATTGGGTACAGCAGGGGAGGGGTATATATTAGAGGTGCAGTATACAGTGGGGGGGGTACAGCGGGAAGAGGGGATAAATTGGGGTACAGATCAGAAGCAGATCGGCAGGCATTTTTCAGTCATGCCCCTTCGACAGAAGTCGGACTGGCTGCTGGTTTCTTTTGAACCGGCTGATAGCAATATTCGACCCGTATTTGTGTGTGACTTGAGCGTGTAATGGATGGAGAGGGGGTAGCATATTCGAGTACATTGGGGGGTGTATATAGGGGCATATCTGGTTCCACTGAAGGGGAGATTTGGGGTACAGGGAATGATATAGCAGAGTATATAAGGACTTACAGGTTAAGAAAAATGGGGGAGGGGTATATATTGGGGGTACAGTGTGGGAGGAGTATATGAGGAGTTGCTCGTTAAGAAAGATGGGGTTTATCTTGGTACATTGGGGGTATATCAGTGTACACTGTGATATAATTGGTACAGTGTGGGAGGGGTATACATTGGGGGTACAGTGTGGGAGGGGTATACATTGGGGGTACAGTGTGGGAGGGGTATACATTGGGGGTACAGTGGGGAGAGTGGGTTGTATATTGGGTCACAGTGGGGAGAGGGGTATAAATAAAGTGTGCAGCAGGAGAGGAGTATACAGTGGGAGAGGGGTATACATTGGGGTTCAGTGGGAAGAATGGGGTACAGTGGGGTACATAATGGGGGAGAGTGGGGTATATAATGGGGTACAGTGGGGAGAGCGGGGTACAGTGGGCAGAGGGGTATATATTGGGGTACAGTGGGGAGAGCGGGGTATAGGGGTACAGTGGGCAGAGGGGTATATATTGGGGTACAGTGGGCAGAGGGGTATATATTGCGGTACAGTGGGGGAGGGGTATATTTTGGTAGAGTCCTCCAACGGGCTGATAATTTTTATAAATACAAGAGGAATAAGCAAATACTACAAAAAGTTTTTTTTTTTTTTTTTTAGACTCATCCACGCAGGTCAGCTCCTGAACGGATTTGCAGGCCCGACTGCCATGAATGCGGCTCCTTTCCTTTCCACAACATGGTTCCCGCCAGACGAGCGAGCCACGGCCACCGCCATCGCCTCTATGCTCAACTACCTGGGCGGAGCCTGCGCTTTTCTCATCGGCCCACTTGTCGTGCCGGCTCCTAACGCGACATCCAGCGGCCTTCTGTCTACAGATAACGTTGGATCAATCAAGGACAGGATAGAGGCCGTGCTGTATGCAGGTACCTTTCTGTTTATAACTTTATTTCATGTATAACTGCACATTGAGAGAGTACAGCCCCCACCAGGCCAGATATTTTACATGTATGGTAATTGTGGCTTGAGAATTAAATCCTCCCTCCTGCCTTCTCTTCAGTCTTGCACAGGTGTTCCGGCTCCTCCCTTCAGTCTTGCTCAGTTGCACCGGCTCCTCCCCTTCAGTCTTGCTCAGGTGCACCAGCTCCTCCCCTTCAGTCTTGCTCAGGTGCACCGGCTCCTCCCCTTCAGTCTTGCTCAGGTGCACCGGCTCCTCCCCTTCAGTCTTGCTCAGGTGCACCGGCTCCTCCCCCAGTCTTTCTTCACCGGCTCCTCCCCTTCAGCTCTCTCAGGTGCACCAGCTCCTCCCCTTCAGTCTTTCTCAGGTGCACCGGCTCCTCCCCTTCAGTCTTGCGCAGGTGCACCGGCTCCTCCCCTTCAGTCTTGCGCAGGTGCACCGGCTCCTCTCCTAGACTGAAATGGCTTACTCTGATTTTTCTCAGTGTGCATTAGAAGCTGCAGCGAAACAAAAAGTGTGACTTGAGTCTTGACAAAGAGGCAGGAACGCCTTGAAACTTGAAACGCGTAGGGAGTGGCACAATGGGTGATGTCAGATGCCGTGGGACAACATGGGGACATGGTATTGTGTTTCAAGAAGTTCCTGCCTCTGTCAAGTCTGAGGCTTGACAAAGAGGTAGGAAAGCCTTGACAGGCGTAGGGAGAGGCACAATGGGTGATGTCAGATGCCGTGCGACATCCTGGGCACATGTTTGTTTCAAGAAGTTCTTGCCTCTTTGTCTCCTTGTCAAGCCTCAAACTTGACAAACACCTTGAAACGCATAGGAAATGGCACAATGGGTGATGTCAGATGCTGTGGGACATCCTGGGGACGTGGCATGGTGTTTCAAGAAGTTATTTTCTCTTTGTAAAGCTTGAGGCTTGACAAAGAGGTAGGAAAGCCTTGACAGGCGTAGGGAGAGGGTGATGTCAGATGCCGTGCGACATCCTGGGGACATGTTGTTGTGTTTCAAGAAGTTCTTGCCTCTTTGTCAAGCTTGAGGCTTGACAAGGAGACAAACACCTTGAAACGCGTAGGAAATGGCACAGTGGGTGATGTCAGATGCTGTGGGACATCCTGGGGACGTGGCGTGGTGTTTCAAGAAGTTATTTTCTCTTTGTAAAGCTTGAGGCTTGACAAAGAGGCAGGAACGCCTTGAAACGCGTATGTTGTGGCACAATGGGTGATGTCAGATGCTGTGGGACAACCTGGGGACATGTTGTTGTGTTTCAAGAAGTTCCTGCCTCTTTGTACAGCTTGAGGCTCGACAGAGGCAGGAACACCTTGAAACAATCTCTGGACTGGATGCCTCAGGTAGGAGTTGTATCTTGTGATAAGAAGCTTAGCAGAGTAAACCCGACATACCTGATAAATGTTGGTTTATGGAGTCATGGCTTTGCATCCCAGCGTTTTCTCTGTCCTATAAGGAGATTATCTATACATTAGCTGCACCACAAATAAATAACGGACGGCACATTTGTTCTGCAAGAATAGGGCAAAATTGAACGTCCTATTTCCTCTACAGGTCAAATGTTCATTCAAGACGTCCCTGCCTCTTTGTCAAGCTTGAGGATTGACCAAGAGGCAGGAACTCCTTGAAACACGTAGGGAGTGGCACAATGGGTGATGTCAGATGCCGTGGGACATCCTGGGGACATGCTTGAGGCTTGACCAAGAGGCAGGACCGCCTTGAAACACGTAGAAAGTGGCACAATGGGTGATGTCAGATGCCGTGGGACATCCTGGAGACATGCTTGAGGCTTGACCAAGAGGCAGGACCACCTTGAAACACGTAGAAAGTGGCACAATGGGTGATGTCAGATGCCGTGGGACATCCTGGGGACATGCTTGAGGCTTGACCAAGAGGCAGGACCGCCTTGAAACACGTAGAAAGTGGCACAATGGGTGATGTCAGATGCCGTGGGACATCCTGGAGACATGCTTGAGGCTTGACAAAGAGGCAGGACCACCTTGAAACACGTAGGGAGTGGCACAATGGGTGATTGTCAGATGCCGTGGGACATCCTGGGGACATGCTTGAGGCTTGACAAAGAGGCAGGACCGCCTTGAAACACGTAGGGAGTGGCACAATGGGTGTTGTCAGATGCCGTGGGACATCCTGGGGACGCGGTGTTGTGTTTCAGACGTCCCTGACTCTTTGTCAAGCTTGAGGCTTGACAAGGAGGCAGGAACATTGTGCTGGGGAACATTTTATTTAGATTGCACCAGGAAGGGGATAAATCGCTCCTTTTACTGCCACAGATCCAGGTAAGCTGTTTATTAATTACTGATGATATTTGTTCCTTTCCTCCACAGAGTTCGGAATAATCGCTCTGGTCTTTGTGGCGGTCGTGGCCTATTTCCCCGCTCGGCCCCCGGTCCCCCCAAGTATTGCCGCTGCCAGTCGCAGGTTGAGTTACAGAAGTAGTATCTGCAAGCTGCTCAGGTAAGGACTGTATGTACTCCACCCCTGCCTGTCAGGATATTTATTTATTTATTCCAGGTACTTATATAAACGCCGTCAATTTACGCCGCGCTTTACATATATATTGTACATTCACATCAGTCCCCGCCCCCGAGGAGCGTACAATCTAAGATCTCTGACTCACATTCATACATACACATGCTAGGGACAATTTTTTAGACAGGAGCCAATTAACCTCCCAGCATGTCTTTGGAGTGTGGGAGGAAACCGGACAGTCACACGGAGAACATGCAAACTCCAGGCAGGTGGTGCCGTGGCTGGATATGTCACCCAACATTAAAAAAGACAATCAGACGGATTGCTTGGAGGTTCCCGGGGAAACATCCATGTTCTGTGAATGAGCCCTTTTCATGGGTGTAGTTTTCCATTAAATGCAACCTATAAGATGTTAAGTATCTGATAATCTTCAGGTGAGAGTAGTCCTCCTCACAAGGTGTCAGTGCTACAGCCAGGACGGTGAAACCGAATTTATTCAGCTTCACTGAGCGTGATGGTGCTGTCCTAGACTTTGACTGTCTGGTACAGAGATACTTAGAGCCAGAGAAGGTATGTGGGGGGGAGTTAGTAAGCTCCTCTGGTACAGAGACTGATGTGACTGTGGGGGAGGGGACATTAGAGCGTAAGCTCCTCTGGTACAGAGACTGATGTGACTGTGGGGGAGACTGGGGGGGACATTAGAGTGTCAGCTCCTCTGGTACAGAGACTGATGGGACTGTGGGGGAGGGGACATTAGAATGTAAGCTCCTCTGGTACAGAGACTGATGTGACTGTGGGGGAGGGGACATTAGAATGTAAGCTCCTCTGGTACAGAGACTGATGGGACTGTGGGGGGAATTAGAGTGTAAGCTCCTCTGGTACAGAGACTGATGGGACTGTGGGGGAGGGGACATTAGAGTGTAAGCTCCTCTGGTACAGAGACTGATGGGACTGTGGGGGAGGGGACATTAGAGTGTAAGCTCCTCTGGTACAGAGACTGATGGGACTGTGGAGGAGGGGACATTAGAGTGTCAGCTCCTCTGGTACAGAGACTGATGGGACTGTGGGGGAGGGGACATTAGAATGTAAGCTCCTCTGGTACAGAGACTGATGGGACTGTGGGGGAATTAGAGTGTAAGCTCCTCTGGTACAGAGACTGATGGGACTGTGGGGGGAGGGGACATTAGAGTGTAAGCTCCTCTGGTACAGAGACTGATGTGACTGTGGGGGAGGGGACATTAGAGTGTAAGCTCCTCTGGTACAGAGACTGATGGGACTGTGGGGGAGGGGGACATTAGAGTGTAAGCTAGATGTGATTGGCTCAGTATTCTTTTTTTTTTTTTTTCAGTTCAGATTAACGTTTAAATCTCTTAATTTGTCTAGCTGTTTGTCTGATTGAATCGGTTTGTTGTCAGTAGAAGGATCTTGCTGGCCATGCCGATGTGACTATGTAAGCAGGAATGACGGCTGTCAGCAGAACTATGACCCAGAATCTGTGGAATGTTCCTGGGAGCCGGCTGCCCTCCTCCTCTCTGCCAGGCTCTTCTTAATGGTCTCTGTCCTAAAGCTCAGTTCACAAAGCTGATGCACTTTGTGAATTACTGCCACATATTTTCACATAAGTGAAATAACTGTCGCTTATTTTCAAAAAGTGACAGTTCTTTTCAAGGGTGTCCAGTGACATGTAAGAATAAAGCCGGCCGTACAACAATCTCTTTCATTTTAGCCGGCTGATTTGGTCACTCACTGTTGGAGTTTCAACAATTCCTCAGAATCCGCTGAAATACTGATGGTGTCTGTACGGCTTTAGTCACATGGCTGATAATGGAGTATCCTGATGGCAAAACTTTGTGAATTGAGGGCTTTCTGCTGACTGTCAGGATCAGAGTACTGCCACTTCATACTGCCACTTCATACTGCCACTGCCACTTCATACTGCCACTTCCTACTGCCACTTCCTACTGCCACTTCCTACCACTTCACTGCCACTTCCTACTGCCACTTCATACTGCCACCTGTACTGAAACTTGAAAGTAAAAATAGTTTAGCCTTTAGAGCCACTTTAGTATTGTATCCCAGATGTTAGGGGTTCCTCAAGTTGTGGCTGATTGACCTCCCATCTGATGGTGCCTTCATAGTACAAGGGTCAATGCCAGCAATGATAAGGGAGGAATTCAAACCACCAATGTAAGGGACACTCTTCCCACTGATTGACCCCAATGTAAGGGACATTCTTCCCACTGACACCAATGGGTAAGGGACACAATGATGTAAGGGACATTCTTCCCACTGACACCAATGTAAGGGACATTCTTCCACTGATCCCCAATGTAAGGGACATTCTTCCCACTGACACCAATGTAAGGGACATTCTACCCACTGATCCCCCCAATGTAAGGGACATTCTTCCCACTGACACCAATGTAAGGGACATTCTACCCACTGATCCCCAATGTAAGGGACATTCTTCCCACTGACCACCAATGTAAGGGATATTGATCCCACCGACCCCCCAACGTCAGGGACGTTCTTCCCACCCACCGACCCCCAACGTCAGGGACGTTCTTCCCACCGACCCCCCAACGTCAGGGACGTTCTTCCCACCGACCCCCCAACGTCAGGGACGTTCTTCCCACCGACCCCCAACGTCAGGGACGTTCTTCCCACCGACCCCCAACGTCAGGGACGTTCTTCCCACCGACCCCCAACGTCAGGGACGTTCTTCCCACCGACCCCCAACGTCAGGGACGTTCTTCCCACCGACCCCCAACGTCAGGGACGTTCTTCCCACCGACCCCCAACGTCAGGGACGTTCTTCCCACCGACCCCCAACGTCAGGGACGTTCTTCCCACCGCCCCCCAACGTCAGGGACCTTCTTCCCACCGCCCCCCAACGTCAGGGACCTTCTTCCCACCGCCCCCCAACGTCAGGGACCTTCTTCCCACCGCCCCCCAACGTCAGGGACCTTCTTCCCACCGCCCCCCAACGTCAGGGACCTTCTTCCCACCGCCCCCCAACGTCAGGGACCTTCTTCCCACCGCCCCCCAACGTCAGGACCTTCTTCCCACCGACCCCCAACGTCAGGGACCTTCTTCCCACCGACCCCCAACGTCAGGGACCTTCTTCCCACCGCCCCCCAACGTCAGGGACCTTCTTCCCACCGCCCCCCAACGTCAGGGACCTTCTTCCCACCGCCCCCCCAACGTCAGGGACCTTCTTCCCACCGCCCCCCAACGTCAGGGGACCTTCTTCCCACCGCCCCCCAACGTCAGGGACCTTCTTCCCACCGCCCCCCCAACGTCAGGGACCTTCTTCCCACCGACCCCCAACGTCAGGGACGTTCTTCCCACCGACCACCAATGCACAGTTAAAATTTCTAGATGTCCCCTAGAGCATCGCCAAATTTTCTCTTTTTGATTTCAAGTCCGCATTATTTTCTATGTACAGATAATTCACGTAGCAGCGCCCCCACCTGGTGGGTAGGAGAATCTCTTCGATGGGCGGCTTGATTCCCACCAATGAGATGATATTGCGATTATTTCTTTTATTCCGAGTTCATTAGTTCACAGCGAATGTTCTTTATTTTTTTCCTGTGTGATGTATTATCCCCGTCCCCGTCACATTGTGCTGCCCCGCGTTTGATTTCTTGTTGGGTTCCCATTGTAAAAGTGAAGGATAACAGGCTGGCAGGGGTTGGGGCTCCATATTTCTCTCATCTGAGGCGGAATATTTAACGTGCAAATGTGGAATTGTTCCAGAACGCGGACGCGCAGATGGTCCCCCGAGAGTTCGCTCAGATGAATTGTACGAACAATCTCTTACTTAAACACGGCACTGCCGCCACGACCGCATTGATTGGGGGAGATGTGTTTATATAGGCCGACCACAATTAAGATTAAACCTCCCAGGGCTCGGAAAAAATGGCGCTGTCGGGTTGACGTTTCTTTCTCGCTGGAAGATGAATGTCACAGTATGCTGCCATTCTGCAGTAGATTTGTTAATACGCGCCGGCAAATGAAATCCACTTCTGCTTTCATATAATTGAAATTCTTTTAACGGCGTTCTCCTGGTAAATGGAGAAAAACACAAACTAGACGGATCGAGGTGTTTTTACTGATGACCGAGCAAAATTTTTTAATTTGGGCCATTCTATAAAATCTTCTATCATCTTCAAGACGTCCATTTCCAAGGTTTTCGTTCATTTTTAAATAAAGATGTTTGCATCAAAATAATCCCCAGTGATCGGGAAGGTCCTCGTTCAGACATAATTGTGGATCTTGCGTGGAGTGGTCCACTATGACCTCATTGCTTCCTGGGTCGTTGATGCTGACCAGTGAGGATACTGGAGGCCCAAGAGGTAACCTAAGAAGCCAAACTAGGAAGACGGATTACCACGTGAGTCACCTGTGTGGCTTTGCACCATTGAAAAGGTGACCACATTTAGAAAGCCTTTTGAAAGTTGGAATGGTTAGTATGTGTTTCTTGGGTGTATTTTTAACTGGTATCCTGGTGATGGATGTGGTCTTCAGACTTATTAAAAACAATGGACCAGTTGAGTCCTACAGACCATAGTGGGGATGGTTGTGATCAGTGGTAGTAGAAAATGCCCTGGTGTCAGTGAGAATAAACAATCCACCAAGCTCCGTGGTCTGTGGGCATGCGAAATGACTCGGGGGGGGGCCAGTTTGGGGGGGTTTTTAGCACTGGGAGCGGATATTGCCTAGAGCTTGTGGCTAGTGGGAGGAGTAGTGGGCTCCATAGTTGGTATCGCTGAGAGGGATTGTGCCTCATCATTGTCAGTGGGAGGAAGGGTATCCTGCCATTTGCGTCAGTGGGAGGCAGGGTGTCCCGCCATTGGCGGCGATGGGAGGCAGGCTGTCCTCGTTCAGACTATGACCTCATTGCTTCCTGGGTCGTTGATGCTGACCAGTGAGGATACTGGAGGCCCAAGAGGTAACCCAAGAAGCCAAACTTGGAAGACGGATTACCACGTGAGTCACCTGTGTGGCTTTGAACCATTGAAAAGGTGACCACATTTAGAAAGCCTTTTGAAAGTTGGAATGTTTAGTATGTGTTTCTTGGGTGTATTTTTTAACTGGTATCCTGGTGATGGATGTGGTCTTCAGACTTATTAAAAACAATGGATCAGTTGAGTCCTACAGACCATAGTGGGGATGATTGGGTTCAATGGTAGTAGAAAATGCCCTGGTGTCAGTGAGAATAAACAATCCACCCAGCTCCGTGGTCTGTGGGCATGCGAAATGACTCGGGGGGTTTGTAGCACTGGGAGCGGATATTGCCTAGAGCCTGTGGCTAGTGGGAGGAGGAGTAGTGCTTCATAGTTTGTATCGCTGAGAGGGATTGTGCCTCATCATTGTCAGTGGGAGGAAGGGTGTCCCGCCATTTGCGTTGGTGGAAGGAAGGGTGTGTCCTGCCATTTGCGTCAGTGGGAGGCAGGCTGTCCTCGTTAAGACATAATTGTGGACCTTGCATGGAGTGGTCCACTGTGACCTTTATTGCTTTTTGGGTCATTGATGCTGACCAGTGAGGATACTGGAGGCCCAAGAGGTAACCCAAGAAGCCAAACTAGGAAGAGGAAATGCCACGCGAGTCACCTGTGTGGCTTTGTAACATTGAAAAACTGACCACATTTAGAAAGCCTTTTGGAAGTTGGAATGGTTAGTATGTGTTTCTTTGGTGTATTTTAACTGATATCCTGGTGATGAATGTGGTCTTCAGACTTATGAAAAACAATGGACCAGTTCAGTCCTACAGACCATAGGGGGGATGATTGGGATCAATGGTAGTAGAAAATGCCCTGGTGTCAGTGAGAATAAACAATCCACCGGGCTTTGTGGTCTGTGGGAGTGCGAAATGACTCGGGGGGGGGGGGGGAGAGTTTTGGGGGGGGGTTTGTAGCACTGGGAGCGGATATTGCCTAGAGCCTGTGGCTAGTGGGAGGAGGAATAGTGCTTCATAGTTGGTATTGCTGAGAGGGATTGTGCCTCATCATTGTCGGTGGGAGGCAGGGTGTCCCGCCATTGGCGTCGGTGGGGGGCAGGGTGTCCCGCCATTGGCATCGGTGGGGGGGCAGGGTGTCCCGCCATTGGCATCGGTGGGGGGCAGGGTGTCCCGCCATTGGCATCGGTGGGGGGGCAGGGTGTCCCGCCATCGGCGTCGGTGGGGGGCAGGGTGTCCCACCATTGGCATTGTTTGTTGTACTTTTTTTTTTTTTTTCTATCTGCTTCATGTTAATTTTTGGTATTAATCTGCTTCCGCTAGTGCTCAGTGCGTGGAAGGGTGCCCCGCCATTGGCGTCGATGGGTGGAAGGGTGCCCCGCCATTGGCGTGGAAGGGTGCCCCGCCATTGGCGTCGATGGGTGGATGGGTGCCCCGCCATTGGCGTCGATGGGTGGAAGGGTGGTGCCCCGCCATTGGCGTCGATGGGTGGAAGGGTGCCCCGCCATTGGAGATTGTGTTGGTGTCTATTTCTTTTGTTTTTTTTTTTTTTAGCATCCTGAGGTTGCTTCTCATCTGCTGTCTTTAGTGCTGGGGTCCTCAAACCTTTCAAACGAAGGGCCCTATTGTTAGTTTTAGTGGGAGAATTGGTGCCCCATAATTGTTGGTGGAAGGAATAGTTCCCCACCATTGGCGTAAGTGAGAGGAAGGGCACCCCATTGGCATCAGTGGGTGGAAGGTGGCCCTGTCGTCATTGGCGTCAGTGGGCATTAGGGGGCCCTGCCACTGGCGTAATTGTTGGTGGTCAGTATTTATTTTGTGGTTTTTTTCAGCTGTTCTGATTATGCTGCTCCATGGCTTCTTCTAGTGCTGGGGTCCTCAAACGTTCTAAACGAAGAGTCCCATTATTGGTGTCCGTGAAAAGAATAGTGCCCTGTCATTGCTGTCCTTGGGAGAATCCCATCTGTTGGTGGAAGGAATAGTGCCCATTGTTTGTCAATGGAGGGAAGTGTGCCCTGTTGGTGTCCTAGGAAGGAATTGTGCCCCATGGTTGGTTTCAGGGGAGGATCAGTGCCCTCAGGGCCAGTTAAAGGCAAGCAGAGGACCTCAGGTTGGGGACCACTGGCATAGTGCGTACTACACGGTCAGGTAACAGAACAAAATGCTGTTGTGTTGTTTGTATGTATGAAGCTTTATCCATATACTGTGAACACTAATATTGATATCCTTTAGGGCTTATTCCCTGAAAGGAAATATTGACCGATCTCTATATTAGTAGTAATTAGTCACTGGAGCTCTGTAATGGTGAAGACGTTTTGTAGTTTTTCCATGCCCCCCCCCCCCCCCCCAAGGATGCAATGGCTGTTTTTGTTTTTAATATTGCTTTGTTTTGTTTTTCATTCCAGCAACGTTCGGTTCCTAATGATCGTTCTGGCTTACGCCATACCTCTAGGGTTCTATGCTGGCTGGTCCGGGTTTTTTTTGGATCTGATCTTAACACCTATCCATGTGAACCAGGTGAGTGTTCCCAGTGTCAGGGATCCTACAGCGGTGTTAGCCTCTAGCACTCCACAGACCGGATTCCCCCAAGGCGCGGAATCTAAGTCCCTACCTGCTTGTTCACCAGGGCCCCTGATGGTGGGGATGGACTTGGAGCAGGCCGAGACCAGGTCGCGGCTTTTGAGTTCACCCAGCTGTGGTAGAAGCACCGTTGGAGGTGTATAGCAGGTGAGAGTCTGATGTGAGGAGGTCACAAGAGCAGCGTCAGGCAGGCTGGGTCGGTAACAGTGGGTGGCAGCGTGGTACAAAGTCAGCAGGCAGAGGAATAAACTGGTCACAAGCCGGGTTCGTTAACAGGAGATCAGAACGTGCAGGGTTAAGCAGGAGAATGGTCAGACAAGCCAGGGATCAGAGCAGGAGAAGACAGCAGTATCAGGAACAGGCTGGGTCGGCAACAAGGTATTCAGGAACACTGGATCAAACAGGAACACAGGTAACAGGTAAGACCATACGGCACTTGAGCATTGCAAGAGCTGGGTTTTTAAATAGGCCGCCCAACTCCTGACAGGCGCTCCTGGGTCCTAGTGCCTGCCCGGCGCAGTCATCGGTGACAGGCGCGCCTGGGGTCCTAGTGCCTGCCTGTATGTATGTCTTGTCAGGATTCTACGCATGTGCAGATTCGATCGCCGAGGCGATCTTCCCATTCCCTGACACCCAGTGTGTATATATCGGGAATCCATAAATGAAGGACCACAATTGACCCGACCTGCCTGGACCGCGGCTGTGCCACTTAGCAGCTGGGTGTCCTCTTCTGGGTCTCCCACTTGGCCACCACCATCGTCCTCGCAGCCCTGCAGGGGGCGGGAGGGAGCTTTAGATCAGGACAGAAAGGCAGGAGTTCTCTCATATTATTCTGTCCGGATCTGCAGCTCCCTCCCGCCCCCTGTCCGGATCTGCAGCTCCCTCCCGCCCCCTGTCCGGATCTGCAGCTCCCTCCCGCCCCCTGTCCGGATCTGCAGCTCCCTCCCGCCCCCTGTCCGGATCTGCAGCTCCCTCCCGCCCCCTGTCCGGATTTGCAGCTCCCTCCCGCCCCCTGTCCGGATCTGCAGCTCCCTCCCGCCCCCTGTCCGGATCTGTAGCTCCCTCCCGCCCCCTGTCCGGACCTGCAGCTCCCTCCCGCCCCCTGTCCGGACCTGCAGCTCCCTCCCGCCCCCTTGTCCGGATCTGCAGCTCCCTCCCGCCCGCTGTCCGGATCTGCAGCTCCCTCCCGCCCGCTGTCCGGATCTGCAGCTCCCTCCCGCCCGCTGTCCGGATCTGCAGCTCCCTCCCGCCCGCTGTCCGGATCTGCAGCTCCCTCCCGCCCGCTGTCCGGATCTGCAGCTCCCTCCCGCCCGCTGTCCGGATCTGCAGCTCCCTCCCGCCCCCTGTCCGGATCTGCAGCTCCTCCCGCCCCCTGTCCGGATCTGCAGCTCCCTCCCGCCCCCTGTCCGGATCTGCAGCTCCCTCCCGCCCCCTGTCCGGATCTGCAGCTCCCTCCCGCCCCCTGTCCGGATCTGCAGCTCCCTCCCGCCCTACGGGCGCAGAGGGGCAACGTCCCTAATGCTGCAGATTTAAATGCCAGGGGGAATGCCAGTCTCCATTAAATATGTATAAAAAACGCACATCCAGTGCAGCAAATCGGCATTCTTGTTTGTAGCTGCTGTAGCAGATCCACTGCTGGCTGACCGCACTGGCTGAAGGCACGCTGAAAGCTAGGGAGGTAGTCGCAGCTTGTGGCGTCAGCGGCTGGCGCTGCACATGCGCGGTACTCAATGCTTGGCTGCAGGGCAGTAGTGGGGCGACTTGGCTCACGTGCCGGCAGCGAGGGCTCTGCGTTCCCACTGCGGCACACGTGCCATAGGTTCGCCACCATGGCTATAGAGGAATATGCTTCATGCCTGAAGTCTACAACCACTTTAAGGGGTAGTCGCAGCTGTGCTTTGCCGCCAGTGACCTGCTGCATTCCCAGTGTCCATTGCTATGCCTTGCTTCTGAAAGGGTGGCAGTAGGTAAGGGGTATACTCAAACGCATTGCTCCGCTCCAGACTTTCTCCTTTGATTTCACATTGACGACCCGGGTGCTGGCTATCACAGCGAACAACAAAAAATCCCGAATGGCTGCACTCCAACAGATCGACTTTATTGAGAGATACAGTTCCAACAGGCAGAATCACATATGGTTGGAGGTCATGAGTAAGTGCCAACATGCCAAACATGCCAACCTTGCTCTGGTTCCCCCACCATATGTGATTCTGCCTGTTTGAAGTTTTATCTCAATAAAGTTGATCTGTTGGAGTGCAGCCGTCCGGGATTTTTTTTGTTCACTGCAGCTTGCAAGCTATGTAAGCACCTTCTCGGCAGAGGTGTGGGGTGTAGTTAGTGTGGACCGACCCAGAGCAGCAACTCTTCAGTGTTGGCTACCACAGTCCACAGTCTGTCTTCACTCTCAATGAAAAGTCAAAAAAAAAAAAAAAAGAATTGTAAAATTCTCTTCATTTTGACAAATTATTATTATACAGGATTTATAAGTAAGTATAAATAAGTATCAATGACTTCATACATTGATGTCTTCATCCGAAACCAACCTTTCTCGACGCGTTTCATCACTGCTGGCCTGCTCGTAAGACTACAGGAAGTCCTTGTGAGCAAGCCAGCAGTGACGAAACGCGTCAGAGTTGGGTTCGGGTGGAGACATCAATGTATGCAGTCTTTCCTTGGCAATTATTAAACGCCTAAAGAAGAGCTGCATTTTGGAGTGCGGTTTGCATTTTTTGTTATAATATTTTGGCTGAGAGTGGGTAAAGTGGTGCCAGACTGCTAGGGGGGACATGTTGGCAAATGAAAATCTAGGCCAAATAGTCTCAAAGCTGAGAATTGGTTGTAAAATCCCAAAAAGTAAAAATGTTTCAATTGTCAATAAAAGTAACGCAGCTCCGTATCGCAAAAAATGGCGTCAGGAAGGGGGGTAAGTGGTTAAAGAAAATGGTAGTGGGGACACTGGAGCTCTTTTTTTAAGTGGTTATAAAAGGTTTAGCTTTCCCCCTAATACTTACCTGAGCCTGGGCCTGATCTTGATCCCGTGCTGTGCACAGAAAGCAGAGGCTCTCTCCCTCCTCTTTGGCTGAGACAAAGCAGCTGGAGCCATTGGCTCTCTCTGCTGTCAATCACAGCCATTAAGGAGCAGGGCGGGCTCAGCCGCACTCTGTGTCTATGGACACGCAGAGCTGGCTAGTGAGTGCCCTCATAACAAACAGCTTGGCAGGGGAAAGAAGCCCAGGAGCGCCAGTAGGGGACCTGAGAAGAGGAGGATCGAGACTGCTCTGTGCAAACCATTACAGAGCAGGTAAAAAAAAAAAAAGCCACTCAGCTGACATGGCAATTACAGTGAGGCTTAGAATGGCTTTCTCTTTTTTTTACTGCCTGGAGAACATCAGAAGGGGTGGCCGAACCAAGACGTGAGACTCCCGGAAGGGGTGGCCGAACCAAGAAGTGTGGAAGGGGAACCAAGAAGTGAGACTCCCGGAAAGGGTGGCCGAACCAAGAAGTGAGACTCCCGGAAAGGGTGGCCGAACCAAGAAGTGAGACTCCCGGAAAGGGTGGCCGAACCAAGAAGTGAGACTCCCGGAAAGGGTGGCCGAACCAAGAAGTGAGACTCCCGGAAAGGGTGGCCGAACCAAGAAGTGAGACTCCCGGAAAGGGTGGCCGAACCAAGAAGGGAGACTTCCCGGAAGGGGTGGCAGAACCAAGAAGTGGATCCCGGAGGGGCGGCCCAAGAAGTGAGACTCCCGGAAAGGGTGGCCGAACCAAGAAGTGAGACTCCCGAAGGGGTGGGTGGCAGAACCAAGAAGGGAGACTCCCCGGAAGGGGTGGCCGAACCAAGAAGTGAGACATCCCGGAAGGGGTGGCCGAACCAAGAAGTGGAGACTCCCGGAAGGGGTGGCCGAACCAAGAAGTGAGACATCCCGGAAGGGGTGGGGTGGCAGAACCAAGAAGTGAGACATCCTGGAAGGGGTGCCAAACCAAGAAGTGAGACATCCCGAAAACCAAGAAGTGAGACATCCCGGAAGGGGCGGCAGAACCAAGAAGGGAGACTCCCGGAAGGGGTGGCCGAACCAAGAAGTGAAGAAGGGAGACCAAGAAGTCCATCCGGAAGGGGTGGCCGAACCAAGAAGTGAGACATCCCGAAGGGGCGGCAGAACCAAGAAGGGAGACTCCCCGGAAGGGGTGGCCGAACCAAGAAGTGAGACATCCTGGAAGGGGTGGGTGGCAGAACCAAGAAGGGAGACTCCCCGGAAGGGGTGGCCGAACCAAGAAGTGAGACATCCCGGAAGGGGGGTGGCGAACCAAGAAGTGAGACATCCCGGAAGGGGTGCCAAACCAAGAAATGAGACATCCCGGAAGGGGTGGCCGAACCAAGAAGTGAGACATCCCGGAAGGGGTGGGTGGCAGAACCAAGAAAAGAGACATCCCGGAAGGGGCGGCAGAACCAAGAAGGGAGACTCCCGGAAGGGGAAGTAAAATGCACGTCCTTCAGTTGAAGCAAGGGGGGGGGGGAATAAAATGAACCAGAACGCATCAAACAATGCGCCGGAACGCATTGAAAATGCGTTGAAAACACCTGAAAAACGTGTATGCAGGAACTCCTCTGGGCTGCATGTATATTTTTTTTTTTTTTTTTTGTGAACTGACCCTAAATCCATTTTTTACTGTCATTTATCCTGCCCCACCTCATACGTTTCACTGTCTTTCTCACTTCCATTTACTTTTTTTTGTAAGTTTTTTTTACTTTCCACAAAGAACTTTTATGTTTTTAGCAGCTCAGAAATGAAATACAGTTGTTTTTTGCTCCATTTTACAAATCAGATTTTTTTTGTTTTTTTTTTTTTTTTACAAATGTATTTTACAATTGTATTTTATTTTTGAGCTGGTAAAAACATAAAAGTTATTTGTTGAAAGTAAAAAAAAAAAACCAAAACAAAAAAATCTGATTTCTAAAATAGAGAAAAAAACAATTGTATTTTATTTTTTAGAAATCAGATTTTTTTTTGTCTTTTTGTTTTTTTATTTTTTTTTTTTTACTTTCCACAAATAATTTGTATTTTATTTTTGAGCTGCTAAAAATATAAAAGTTATTTGTGGAAAATCTGATTTCTAAAATAGAGAAAAAACAATTAACTTTTGTGTTTTTAGCAGCTCAAAAATAAAATACAATTGTTTTTGGCTCTGTTTTAGAAATCAGATTTTTTTTTTTTGTTTTGTTTTTTTTTTTTTACTTTCCATAAATAACTTTTGTGTTTTTAGCAGCTCAAAAATAAAATACAATTGTTTTTTTTGCTCTATTTTAGAAATCCGATTTTTTTTTTTTTTGGTTTTTTTTTTTTTTTTTTTTACTTTCCATAAATAACTTTTATGGTTTTAGCAGCTCAAAAATAAAATACAATTGTTTTTTGCTCTATTTTAGAAATCCGATTTTTTTTTTTTTTTTTTTTTTTTTTTCGTTTTGTTTTTGTTTTTTTTCCACAAATTTGTTTTTCGCAGCTCAAAAATAAAACACATTTGTGGAAAGTAAAAAAAAAAAACAAAACAAAAAAAAAAATCGGATTTCTAAAAGAGCAAAAAACAATTGTATTTTATTTTTGAGCTGCTAAAACCATAAAAGCTAATTTGTTTTTTGCTCTATTTTTAGAAATCAGATTTTTTTTGGTTTTTTTTTTTTTGCTGAGCGCTCCTTCTCAGCACTGCACATATAATGACCTATCTGTGGTTCTCCGCAGGTTGACGCCGGCTGGATCGGATTCTGGTCCATTGTTGGGGGATGTATCGTCGGAATCGCTTTGGGCAGGTATGGAAAGGATCTGTACGCGGTAATGATATAAATACGCTTGTTGGAGCGAAATGATTCAAATACGGCGTGAAGCGAGTCATGTCTGCTAATGGCGGGGATACGTCACATGGTGATGTGTGAAGAAGAATGCGAATGGCGGTAATTTGTAATGTGTTGCCGATGGGCGCGATTGCCGCTTAGTAGGCGATGTGGATGTGTCGGAGCGTGAGCCCCCATTACATGTGTTTAACCCGCCTAACCACCTCCTGTCCGGCCGTTGTATATAAACGGCCAGACGGTGGCAGTGCAGGGGCGGGTGGACGTTTCTAAACGGACTCCCTGCTTGTGCGCGCTCCCCGAGAGCAGCACAGCACCGCGATCTGCTGCCCGCTGTGTCCTCCGGACACAGTGGAAGACCAATCGTTGTACGGGACCTCTGTGCGAAGTCCTGATCATGTGATCACTGATTGGCCATGTGACATCATTGCTTACTACTTGTGAAATCTGTGAATGATCACAGAGATCACATGGTACAGGGCTATTCACAACAGCCTTGTACCATGTGACAAGCTGTGACCACTCACAGCTCGCACAGTATTTCTCAATGGCTGCAGGAATGCAGCCAGAGAGAAGGAGAAACTATTACTTTTATAGCCTTTATGGGTGTAAAAGTAATTAGTGTGTAAAAAAAAAAATCTTCATCACCCCCCACAAGTAGTACAGTGTCACCATGGTAACACTGTACTGCTAGGGTGACAGTATGTAAAAATAAATAATAAAAATGTAAAAAAAAAAGTTTAAAAATTATAATTTTTGGTTATAAACTAATTTTGGTTATTTTTTTTTTTTTTTACTAAAAATATAACTGAATACATTTTGGCCACGATTTATGATGAAATATTATTTATTTGCAAATTGTATAAGAAAAACACTTTTTTTCAAAAAGTGCGGGGCGTTTTGCGGAGCGGTAACACCATTCAAACTGCATTCTATAGGCGCTTGTGGGGCGTTTTTAACGCTCGGCAAACGCCTAGCAACCACCGCTAAACCGCACATGCGGCGTTTGTCGAGCGTTAAAAATCGCTCCACAAACGCCGGACCAACGCTTGCCAAACGCTATAGGGGCTTTTGGCAAGCGTTGGTAAAACAGCGTGAACGAGACCTAAGTTTTCACCGCCATTACCAGTCTAACATCTGTAGCTGTGTAAATTCCAGTATATATCTCATAGTTTGTAGATGCTATAACTTTCACACAAACCAATCAATATACACGCATTGGGGGGGGGCGACGGTTTCTTTTTTTTTTTTTTTTTAATTTGCTGTCTTTTTTTTTTTTTTTTTCATTTATTTAACCGTTTCAATACCGGGCAATTTTCCCCCTTCCTGCCCCCAGGCCATTTTTCACGTTTCAGCGCTCTCACACTTTGAATGACAATTGCGCGGTCATACAACATTGTACCCAAACTAAAATTTTATCATTTTCTTCACACAACTAGAGCTTTCTTTTGGTGGTATTTAATCACCGCTGGGGTTTTTATTTTTTGTTAAATTAACAAAAAAAGACCAAAAATGTTGAAAAAAAAAAACACGTTTTTCTTTGTTTCTGTTATAAAAGTTTACAAATAAATAATTGTTCTTCATAAATTTAGGCCGAGATGTATTCTGCTACATGTCTTTGGTGAAAATAACCCAAATTAGGATGTATTTTTTAGTTTGTAGGAAAGTTACAAACTAGAGTTCACAAACTATGGAGGTCTATAGATCTGAATGTCATTGATCAATCCTGAAGTAGAACTGACAGCCAATCTAATTTCTTGAGGTCTAAGAATGTCAGAACAGTACAAATATCCCCCAAATGTCAGGACAGGACAGATATCCCCCAAATGACCCCTTTTTGCAGAGTAGACAGTCCGACGTATTTCATAAGAGGAATGGCGAGTTTTTTGAAGTTGTGTTTTTTTTGTCATAATTTTTCGGAAAATTAAGAAATTAAAAAAATTATTTTCACTATTTTTTTTTTTTACATACTGTCACCAGTGCAGTACAGCGTCATCATATAACTGGCATGGCGGTAAACAGGGACACTGACAGGTGACAGTATGAAAAAAAAAAATATATATATATTTTTTTTTTTTTTTTTTAATTTTTTTATTACTTTTTTTTTTTTTTTTTTTTTAAGATTTTTTTTTTATATTTTACTATGACCAAAGTAGTACAATGTTACCATAGTAACATTGTACTACTTTGGGGAAGTGATCAGTATTTTTTTTTTTTTTTTTTTTACACAATTTGCTTATAGCAAAGAATTACTTTGCTATAAGTAAGCATTTCGAAATCGAAGAAATCGATTCATTCAGCTTTTCTTTTTTTTTTTTTTTTTTTGTGCTTAGCTGTGATTTGGTCACAGCTAATCACATGACATGTGCATGTGATTAGCTGTGACCATTCACAGCTAGGCACTAGTATACAATGGATGGCATCATGAATGAAGCCATCCATTGTATACAACTGTCATGTGACCTGCTGTGATTGGTCACAGCAGGTCACATGGTACCTGCAACGGGGGCCGGTACTCAGATCTGTCATCGGCCATGTGCGAGGTACACGGCCGGTGACAGATCGCCCCGCTGCGCCGCTCTGCATTAGCGCAAACTGCGCATGTGCGGGAGCACGCCAAATGGTGTGCACCCGGAGTGCAGGAGCGCATTTGAAGCCGCCAAACGGCCATTGGTCGGGCGGCTAATGGTTAACCTCCTTAGCGGTATTCCCGAGTGTAGCTCGGGTAAAATTTCAGTACCAAGAGCGGTAACCCCCCCGAGCTACACTCTGGCTTACCATGCGGCGTTCTCCGGGGGCCCTGCAGCACTTACCTTGTCCTTCGCTCCCGCGATGCGTCCCCTGCATCGTCCCCCGGGCCATCTCCTCCGGCCGATGCCGGCATCCGGCTTCCGTGTTCCGGTCCCTGTGACGTCGGGACGTACGGGCGCCGGAACTGGCGGGAAATTTGAAATTTTTTAAAAATTTCATTTTTGCTGTCATTGCTCTTTCAATGCATTTCACATACATTTTGTCCTGGCGCCCTGCCTGCATTTTTACTGTTCTTTCTGCCTGGAAACTTAGAAAAGTCCATGGCGTCCAAAAAGCGTCCCTTTACGTCAAAAGCGGTTTAGAACAGCTAGAAACAGCGATAGTAAATCAGAACCACTTGCAGAATTGAGTGATAATGATTCGTGGGGGAAATTCGTCATCGGACACTGAAAACGATTCTGCGACTGAGCTCAGCGATGTGCGAACTTGGCGCTCTATTTCACATTTCAGTGTTTTTGGTTTGATTATATTACTGAATTAAATTTATTATTATTATATTAGTATTTTTAATGATTATTTATTAAATTATAATTTATGATTTCGTATTTCAAGTTTTATCCTCCCCGGGATGTTTACTAGACTCTTGTCGGACAGATTTCAGTGAGTTATTCCTAAAAATTACAGCCTACAATAAAAAAACGACATATTTCTATGCAAAAAAATGGTATCGCTTTCAGCACAAAAAAATCGGAAATAATCATCCCGCCGAGGAGGTTAATAAAAATTTAAAAAAACAGAAAGCTCTATTTGTGTTAAAAAAAAAAATAAAAAAAATCTAAATTTAATTTGGTATGTTAAGCCGCTAATGGGGAGAAGCAGCAGCAGGGAGACCCCAGGCAATGCTGCAATACTGGGGGCAGCACAGTGGCTAAGTGGCTGGTGCTTCTGCCTGGTAGTACTAGGGTCATTGGTTCGAATGCCAGCCTGCCTGGAGTTTGCATGTTATACCTGTACCTGTGTGAGTTTTCTCTGGGTACTCCGGTTTCCTCCCACTCTCCAAAAACATGCTGGGAGGTTATTTGGCTCTGGTATAAATTGTCCCTAGTATGTGTATGTATGAATGTGAGTTAGGGAGCTTAGATTGTACGCTCCTCGGGGGCGGGGACTGATGTGAATGTAAATGGTTAGCGCTTCCGCCTGGCAGTACTCGGGTCGTTGGTTTGAATCCCAACCACAACACCGCCTGCCAAGAGTTTGCATGTTCTCCCTGTGCCTGCGTTTCCTCCGGTTACTCCGGTTTCCTCCCACACGCCAAAGACATGGTGGTAGGTGAATTGGCTCCTGTCCAGGGGCGGACTGACAACTCATGTGGCCCCCGGGCAATAGGGGATCATGGGGCCCCTGTGTCCTTGCCCAAACTCAAAGCCTATGAAAACGGTACCAGGGGCATCTCATGGGGCCCCCTACTGACCCCGGGCCCTCGGGCAGTGCCCGAGTTTCCAAATGGTCAGTCCGCCCCTGCTCCTGTCTAAATTGGCCCTAGTATGTGTATGTATGAATGTGATTTAGGGACCTTAGATTGTACGCTCCTCGGGGGCGGGGACTGATGTGAATGTACAATATATGTAAAGCGCCACATAAACTGAAGGCGCTATAGAAGTACCTGAAATAAATAAATACTGGTGACCAGTCCTTTGCCCTTTGCTGGCCTCACTGGGCTCCGCTTCCATTGTACAGGTATTACAGGTCCTCTTTAGCAAACAAAGTTTGGATTCAGACTAGTTGCATATTTTTGCTTTTTTTTTGTTATTTTTTTGTTTCGTTTTTCTGGTTCTCCATGAGCTGCAGCTGGCAGCCCTTCAGAATCCAGTTATTTCTGTAAGAAGGATTGCGAAGGGCAACCTCTTCCTTCTTGCTCTGACTTGTATCCCGTCCCCCTCTGTGATGTCGCCAGTTGCATCCTCCGGCGCTCGGAGCCGCACGCTGTCATCTTCGGACTAATAAAATAGTTATTGCGGCTGTAACCGCCGTCTGTCGGATCAGAACGGAACGCTTGTCATATGAAAGCGCAGAGGAGGCGGCATTGAAAGCCAATTTGCCAGTGAATAGGAAGGTCATTGAAGCCGCCGATCCTGGCAGGCGGCAAGCAAGATCCACGACGGCCGTCACCTAATGAGACTTGAGTCGGCTCGTCCGTCTTCTGCGCTGGGTTGGATCCATGACGAGTCCGGCTGTAATAATCCGCTGAAAGTTGTAATCAGGAAAATGAGGTCGTAATTCTTGTCACATTTAACAGATTTTTCCCTAAGCGAGGACATGCGGCGCCTGCCGGGTTCCTCGTTTATTCCACCCAAAACGCCTTTTTTGTATTCTCTCTCTTCCAGCAGCTGCCGATTGTTTTAGGAGGGCAAAAATCGCCCAATTCTGGCTTTATACTGTCGCGTTCTTCGCATTATCCTCCACTCAGCGCTCCGTGACAGCCTGTAATTGTGTCTCCAGAATGACTTAATTACAAAGCCCCATTACAGTTCCTAATTTGGAAGCAGATTTTCATATGATACAATGTGGAACGACTTCTGCGGGAAAACGCGCGCACGGGGGACGACTGGCGAAGACAAAGCCGATTAGTGCAGCCGCTGAAAAAGGAGAAACGGGCAAATTATTACCTCCCAACATCATCCCTGTGTAGTGTCAGAAGATGACAAAATCATAACCAGGTTGTAGTTACTAATGTGCAATTTTATCCTTTTTAATTTCTGTGTGCACAAAAAAATGGAGATCGAACATATGCACTGATCAGCCATAACATTATGACCACCCGCTTATTGAGTAGGTCCCCCTTTTGCCAACAAAACAGTCCTGATCCATCCAAGCATGGACTGCACTAGGCCTCTGATGGTACGCTGTGGTGTCTGGCATCGTCTGTACTCTCCAGCACTTCAGGAAATGGACAGCCGAAGGGAAGCCAAGGGGACCAGGACGGAGGCAACCAAAAGAAGATGCTTCAGGGGTGCAGCCCTCCTCAGATGGGGGGATCAGCCACTAGATAAAGAGCAGACAGGAGGCGCACACACCTAGTGCATTATCCAAGGATTATTCAAAGGTATAAAAGTGGTGGGGCCTTCGCGCCCCGCCTCCGCCGGTGGGGCCTTGGCGCCCCGCCTCCGCCGGTGGGGCCTTGGCGCCCCGCCTCCGCCGGTGGGGCCTTGGCGCCCCGCCTCCGCCGGTGGGGCCTTGCGCCCCGCCTCCGCCGCCTCGCGCCGGTGGGGCCTTGGCGCCCCGCCTCCGCCGGTGGGGCCTTGGCGCCCCGCCTCCGCCGGTGGGGCCTTGGCGCCCCGCCTCCGCCGGTGGGGCCTTGGCGCCCCGCCTCCGCCGGGGGCCTTGGCGCCCCGCCTCCGCCGGTGGTTCCTTGGCGCCCCGCCTCCGCCGCCCCCGCCTGGTTTCCTTGGCGCCCCGCCTCCGCCGGTGGTTCCTTGGGCCCGCCTTGGCGGGGCCCGCGCCCCGCCTCCGCCGGTGGGTCCTTCGCGCCCCAGTGGGGCCTTGGCGCCCCGCCTCCGCCGGTGGGGCTTTGGCGCCCCGCCTCCGCCGGTGGTTCCTTGGCGCCCCGCCTCCGCCGGTGGTTCCTTGGCGCCCCGCCTCCGCCGGTGGTTCCTTGGCGCCCCGCCTCTGCCGGTTGGGGCCTTGGCGCCCCGCCTCTGCCGGTTGGGGCCTTGGCGCCCCGCCTCCGCCGGTTGGGGCCTTGGCGCCCCGCCTCCGCCGGTTGGGGCCTTGGCGCCCCGCCTCCGCCGGTTGGGGCCTTGGCGCCCCGCCTCCGCCGGTTGGGGCCTTGGCGCCCCGCCTCCGCCGGTTGGGGCCTTGGCGCCCCGCCTCCTCCGCCGGTGGGCCTTGGCGCCCCGCCTCCGCCGGTTGGGGCCTTGGCCATCGCGCCAAGGTTTATTCAAAGGTATAAAAGGCAAAACATACTCACCGACGAAGCGTGTATAAAAATAGGTAGATTGTTCCAACTGTCAGTGCGTTCAAATGGCTGACGCGTTTTTAGTCCCTTTCCTCAGAGCTGCTGACCAGCCTCTTAGACTGGTACAGATGTGTAGTGGAGAAGGAGGACCGATGGTCTGAACAACCTTTGCTGCTGATACCTGTGGTTGGTTTTGGCACCAAGCCGTCAGTAGCAGATCCTTTAAGTCCTGGAAGTTGGGAGGTGGGGCCTCCATGGATCGGAATTGTTCAACATCTCAAACTTATTAGGTTCCTCAAACCATTTTTGCAGTGTGGCAGAGCGTATTATCCTGCCGAAAAAACCCCACTGCCATCAAGGGATATCGTTTCCATGAAGGGGTGGACTTGGTCACCAACAAGGGTTAGGTAGGTGGTACGCACCGGGTAACATCCACATGAATGGTGGAGCCAAGGTTTCCCAGCAGAACATTGCCCCAAGCATCACGCTGCCTCCGCGGGCTTGTCTTCTCCCCATACTGCAGCCTGGTGCCATCTCCTCCCCAGGTAGGCGACGCACACCCACCCGGCCAATCCCATGATGTAAGAGAAAACATCATTCATCAGACCAGGCCACCTTCTTCCATCGCTCTGTGGTCCAATTCTGATGCCCACGTGCCCCTTGTAGGTGCTTTTGGCTGTGGAAACGGGTCAGCATGGGCACCCTGACCGGTCTGCGGCTACACAGCCCCCCATACACAACAAACTGCAATGCACGAGGGGGGGATTTACTAAAACTGGAGCACACAGAATCTGGTCCAGCTGTTACTAGTAAGCAATTGGCTTCCTACTTCAGCTTCTCCAATTAAGCTTTGACAATAAAACCTGGAAGCTGATTGGTTGTTGTACACAGCTGCACCAGTTTTAGTAAATCTCCCCCACTGTGTGTTCTGACATCTTTCTATCAGAACCAGCATTCACTTTTTCAGGAATTTGAGCTCCATTAGGTCTGCTATTAGATCGGAGTACGCTGGCTGTCCTTTGTGCCCCGCCTCCATCGGTGGGCCTGCGCGCCCCCGCCTTCAAGCCCCGCTCCCGTTGGTGGGGCCTCCGCACCCCGCTCCTGTCGGTGGGGCCTTCGCTCACCGCCTCCGCGCCCCGCCTCCGTCGGTGGGGCCTTGGCCACCTTTCTATCAGAACCAGCATTCACTTTTTCAGGAATTTGAGCTCCATTAGGTCTGCTATTAGATCGCAGTACGCTGGCTGTCCTTTGCGCCCCGCCACCGTCGGTGGGCCTTTGCGCCCCGCCACCGTCGGTGGGCCTTTGCGCCCCGCCACCGTCGGTGGGCCTTCGCGCCCCGCCACCGTCGGTGGGGCCTCGGTGGGGTGGGGCCTTCGCGCCCCGCCACCGTCGGTGGGGCCTTCGCGCCCCGCCACCGTCGGTGGGGCCTTCGCTCCTTCGCCCTTCGCTCCCCCACCGTCGGTGGGGCCTTCGCTCCCCGCCACCGTCGGTGGGGCCTTCGCTCCCCGCCTCCGTCGGTGGGGCCTCCGCTCCCCGCCTCCGTCGGTGGGGCCCCGCTCCCCGCCTCCGTCGGTGGGGCCTCCGCTCCCCGCCTCCGTCGGTGGGGCCTCCCCTCCCCGCCTCCGTCGGTGGGGCTCCCCGCCTCCGTCGGTGGGGCCTCCGCCTCCGTCCGTCGGTGGGGCCTCCGCTCCCCGCCTCCGTCGGTGGGGCCTCCGCTCCCCGCCTCCCCCTCCGCTCCCCGCCTCCGTCGGTGGGGCCTCCGCTCCCCGCCTCCGTCTGGGGCCCGCTCCCCGCCTCCGTCGGTGGGGCCTCCGCTCCCCGCCTCCGTCGGTGGGGCCTCCGCTCCCCGCCTCCGCGCCCCGCCTCCGTCGGTGGGGCCATCGCCCTCCGCCTCCGTCGGTGGGGCCATCGCCCTCCGCCTCCGTCGGTGGGGCCATCGCCCTCCGCCTCCGTCGGTGGGGCCATCGCCCTCCGCCTCGGTCGGTGGGGCCATCGCCCTCCCTCCGTCGGTGGGGCCATCGCCCTCCGCCTCCGTCGGTGGGGCCATCGCCCTCCGCCTCCGTCGGTGGGGCCATCGCCCTCCGCCTCCGTCAGGGGGGGGGGGGGGCCATCGCGCCCCGCCTTCAAGCCCCGCCTACGTCGGTGGGGCCTTCAGTCCGCGCCCCCGCCTCCCGCCTCCGTCGGTGGGGCCTCCGCTCCCCGCCTCCGTCGGTGGGGCCTCCGCTCCCCGCCTCCGTCGGTGGGGCCTTCGCTCCCCGCCTCCGTCGGTGGGGCCTCCGCTCCCCGCCTCCGTCGGTGGGGCCTCCGCTCCCCGCCTCCGGGCCTCCGCTCCCCGCCTCCGTCGGTGGGGGGCCTCGCTCCCCGCCTCCGTCGGTGGGGCCCGCTCCCCGCCTCCGTCGGTGGGGCCTCGCTCCCCGCCTCCGTCGGTGGGGCCCCGCCTCCCCGCCTCCGTCGGTGGGGCCTTCGCCCCCCGCCTCGCGCCCCGCCTCCGTCGGTGGGGCCATCGCCCCCGCCTCCGTCGGTGGGGCCATCGCCCTCCGCCTCCGTCGGTGGGGCCATCGCCCTCCGCCTCCGTCGGTGGGGGGGGGGCCATCACGCCCCGCCTTCAAGCCCCGCCTACGTCGGTGGGGCCTTCAGTCCGCGCCCCGCCTCTGTCGGTGGGGCTATCGCGCCTGGCCTCCGTCGGTGGGGCCATCGGGAACATACCACAAGTGATGCAGTTCTGGAGTTGCTCCAACCCAGCCATCTAAACCTTACAATTCAGCCCTCGTCAAAGTCCCGCAAATCCTTACGCTTGTTTACGTTTAACACATCAACTTCTAGGACAACATGTTCACTTGCTGCCTAATATCCCACCCACTTTCAGGTGCCATTGTAACCAGATAATCCATGTTATTCCATTTACCCTCCGTGGGCAGAATGTTTTCTATCTGATCGGTGTGCATATCGAGAGAGAGAGAGAGATGGCTAGATAGGTATAGAGAGAGAGTTATGGAGAAATATAGAGATGGAAATTTGTTGTATTACAGTTGATTGGAGGACACGTGTAGGTTGTTTTGTGTATTGGGGTCACCTTTATGCGATGATCACACTGACCTCTGACCTCTCTCCTCTGCCTTTAGGTTTGCAGATTCATTCCGGGGGATTCTGAAGCCCATTCTCGTCTTACTCTTCTCAGGCTCCACACTAATGGCCACGTGGTTCACACTGACCTTCCTCAGTAATATCACTCACCTTCCTCTCACTACAGGTAAGTGTGCACAGGTCACCAATTGCAAGTTATTCCTCCTGATATGCTGGATGACTCCAGTCTGATCCTGGTGGCTTTGGCTACGGAACTTTGAAATAAGGCCTCCTTCACACATTCATTCGGGCACCACAGTGGCACTTCAGCCTGGCAGTACTCGGGTCGCTGGCTCAAATCCCAACCATGGCACCACCTGCCTGGAGTTTGCATGTTCTCCCTGTGCCTGCGTGGATTTCCTCCCACACTCCAAAGACATGCTGGTAGGTTAATTGGCTCCTGTCTAAATTGGCCCCAGTATGTGTATGTATGAATGTGAGTTAGGGACCTTAGATTGTACGCTCCTCGGGGGCGGGGACTGATGTGAATGTACAATATATATGTAAAGCGCCGTGTAAATTGATGGCGCCATATAAGTACCTGAAATAATTCATACAACTGTGCGAGGGCCATGTTTGCGCACACACAGGGATGCACAGGTGTCCATGCATCCCCATGCAGGCAGTCCTATTCATGTCAATTGAAACGCAATGGCTGCACAAACTCGGCCACTGCTTCCAATTTGACAGCCATATGGGGCGGGCGAATGGACCTGAACGCAGATGTACGTATGTTGTATTACTCCAGAATGATCAAGGTCTAATCGTTGGCAGGTAGTACTTTCCTGTAAAATCTACATGGGTTGCAGTGAACTCCTTTAGATTCTGACTAGATCTGTAGATTCTGACCCACTTTGGTTACCACCATTCCTTTATGACCTGCTAACATACAGTCAGGTCCATAAATATTGGGACATGGACACAATTCTAACGTTTTTGGCTCTATACACCACCACAATGGATTTGAAATGAAACGAACAAGATGTGTTTTAACTGCAGACTGTCCGCTTTAATTTGAGGGTATTTACATCCAAATCAGGTGAACGGTGTAGGAATTACAACAGTTTGCATATGTGCCTCCCACTTGTTAAGGGACACACTATATATACATACATATATATACACACACATTAAATCTGCATTGCAGCAACGCTGCAACCAATCGATAAGCAGCATTCTGGTAACACAATACCGCTCGATCTCTGCAGATATATCCATTAATGAGACAAATAACATATTAAATAGCCGATTAAAAAATATGAAATAAAAATATTCACATAAAAAATAAAACAATAAAATACAATCAATATAAAATAATCTAAAAAACACTTCGAAAAATATTAAAACATATATAATCACTATATGACCCCCTATTATTTAAAGGGCCAGTATAATTAATAATGTCAAATAATATAAACAACCAATAAACATATAATATCTGCTGATGCATATTCCAAAAAAATATATATAAAAAAAAATAATTAAATGATATTGTATCGGTCCGTAATAATCAGCTGGGGACCGCATGCTGTTAAGTGGCCACCCTAAATAATAATATCAATTTATATGGAAGACCAAAAAAATCAATCTTAATCTTCCAATTGAAATAAATCATTGTAGACGAACAGGATGGTCTACAAATTTACCATCAACAAAGGAAGTATATTCGATCAAAAAATTTGATTAAAAAAAAAATTAGAGCAAAATTTGATCCAAAAAATTAAATCAAAAAATTGGTCAGAAAACAATTTAAATCAATGTTGATATTCAATCCGTTCGGTTTTAAAGAATTTAATTCGTATATCCAAAACGTCTCCCCTCTGGAGGTCTCATTGATCATGTGCGTACCCCTCCAATGTCTTTTGATTTTATCTATTCCATAAAAGGTCAATAAACTGGGATCGCTATTATGTTTAAGTTTGAAATCCCTGGAGACACTATGCTTGTCATCGCCCTTCTTTATATTATTTAGATGTTCTCCTGTTCTTGTTCTTAATAATCTCCCTGTCCGTCCCACGTACTGGAAGTGACATGGACACTCTAGAACAGTGGTTCTCAACCTTCCTAATGTCGCGACCCTTTAATACAGTTCCTCATGTTGTGACCCCCCAACCATAAAATTATTGCAAAACGGTCGATCGTTTTGTGCCCTGGTCAATCGACTGAAAGAATTTCATGGGAATGGAAGTTAATCTGATTGCCAATTGGATCTGATAGTAAAATTGAAGTGTGTATTGCCAGTATTCCCCCCCCCCCTCCCCTCCAGGGATATCAGCGCTCTCCCACACCAAGTTGTCGGTCCTGAGGCTCCTTTTATGACCCCGGAATGTTTGGGATTGCTGGTCGCTGTGTACTTCCCTCTAGCGGGCCGGGTGCCCCGGTGCCAGCCCTCGTACTGTGAGGAGAAGCCTCCGTGGGAGGTGAGCGGCTGTAGGGCACACGCTCTGCGGGTAACCAGATCCCCCCTCCCCGGAGACAAAGGGGGGCCCGGCTCACATCTATCCAGCTGTTGTAAGCAGCTGCCCGCCCGGGGAAACATGCATCAGGTGCAAGGTCAGCCAATGGGCGGCAGCGGGGGCACCTCCGACCCACCCCTTGCAGGGGAGGAGCCTCTAGCCTGGCCAGCCGCTCATAACGCACAGGGAAGAGGGAGCGGGCCAGTCAATGTGCTGGTGTTAGTTCAGCGCGAGAGGCTCACAGCAAGCCGGGAGTGCGGGACACCCTGCCGAGCCCCTCCGGCCGCCCTCACCACTACTTCACAGAGTATCTGCACGTGGGCGGACCCGCCTGAAGACAAAGGAGCGGTGTCTCGGTTCCTAAGACCATCGAAAATATGTTTTCCGATGGTCTTAGGCGACCCCCGTGAAAGGGTCATTCGACTCCCAAAGGGGTCGCGACCCACAGGTTGAGAACCGTTGCTCTAGAACATATACCGACCCACAGGTTGAGAACCACTGCTCTAGAACATATACCGACCCACAGGTTGGGAACCGTTGCTCTAGAACATATACCGACCCACAGGTTGGAACCACTGCTCTAGAACATATACCGACCCACAGGTTGAGAACCACTGCTCTAGAACATATACCGACCCACAGGTTGGGAACCACTGCTCTAGAACATATACCGACCCACAGGTTGAGAACCGCTGCTCTAGAACATATACCGACCCACAGGTTGAGAACCGCTGCTCTAGAACATATACCGACCCACAGGTTGGGAACCACTGCTCTAGAACTACACCGACCCACAGGTTGGGAACATGCTCTAGAACATATACCGACCCACAGGTTGAGAACCGCTGCTCTAGAACATATACCACATGGGATGAATTACAATAAATCAGTGTGTCGATCTTATATTTTTTTATTTGTTGTCATTGAATAAAATTCTTTTCTTTTTATCTTCGAATCTCTTTTTACTGTTTTGCAATTTGTTACAATGGAAGAATCCTTGTAGACCAGGAAAAAAATGTATTTCCTTAGGCGGGTCAATAACATTATGGGCTAATTTCGTCCGCAGCGATCTATTCTTCCTATAGATAAATTTTGGTCTAAAAGGAATAATTTTTTTTAAGGGTTTCATCTTTCAACAAAATTGGCCAATATTTTTTAAAAATACCTTCAGTATCTTTATATTGCGTCTTGTAATCCGTAATAAAAGCTGTATGTTCCAATCTTTTCTTATCTTTTTGGTATGATAAGAGAGAGTCCCTATCCTTATTATTAACCCCTCCCCCCTCCTGACGATTTACCCCCCTTAATGACCACGCCTCTTTTTGCTACTGGTCGCTGCACTAATAATATATAATAATAATTGCGCGGGTCATGCAATGCTGCACCCAAACGAAATTTACGTCCTTTTTTTTCACACAAATAGAGCTTTCTTTCGGTGTAATTTGATCACCTGTGCGCCTTTTATTTTTCACGCTATAAACAAAAAAAGGCCAAAAATTTTGAAGCAAAACAATATTTTTTACTTTCAGCTATAAAAAATATATAGTAAACTCAAAGTTAGATATAAATTTAGGCCAAAATGTATTCTGCTCCATGTTTTTGATAAAAAAAAATCCCAATAAGTGTATATTGATTGCTTTGTGTGAAGTTATAGCGTCTACAAACTATGGTATAGATACTGCAATTTACACCATTTTTCTGCTATACAGCGCTGCGCTAGTTTATCGGACAATTGCGCGGTCATGCAATACGGTACATAAATGAAATTTACATCCTTTTTTTCCCACAAATTGAGCTTTCTTTCGGTGTTATTTGATCGCCTGTGCGGTTTTTATTTTTTGCGCTATAAAAAAAAAAGGCTGACAATTTTGAGTGAAAAAAAACAATATTTTGGACTTTTTGCTATAAAACATGTCCAGTAAAAAAAAATTTAAAAATCAAATGTAGTCATAAATTTCTGCCAAAATGCATTCTGCGACATGTCTTTGCTAAAAAAAAAAACAAAAACAAAAACCCAATACGTGTAAATTAATTGGTTTACGTGAAAGTTATAGCGTTTACAAATGGCGGGAAAGATACTGGGATTTTTAGGGGTTTTTTTTTATACTAATAATGGCGGCGATCAGCGACTTATGGCGGGACTGCGGCGGACATTCTGACACTGGGGAGGTACTGACTTGGGGTCGCTGATATCCCCAGTGACACCAATACAGTGATCAGTGCAAAAAAAAAAAAAACACTGACACTGTACTAATGGCACTGGGGAGGAAGGGGTTAAGTTTATTATTCAGGGAAAGGGTTAACTGTGTGAGGAGAGTGTTTTACTAGGGGGCGGGGGGGGGGGTGTACTGCAGGGAACACCGCTGATTGGGAGAGAGAAACTCTTCTGTCCCGATCAGCGTGTCCTGGAGCTGTCAGGGAACTGACAGAAAGCAGAGCTACTGCAGCTGTGCTCTCTGTCAGTGATTGCCGCCGATCGCCGGGACATAGCCGGTAATGACCGGCTGTGACCCGGTGACTGACATCTGCGGCCGTGATCGGCGGGACAGGTAGGGCGGCGGCGCGCCTCGCATGCGCCCCCTACCTGTTTACAAAACACACATTTTAAAACATGCTTTTGCCCAGCCGTGCCGCCCTGCCACCGTATTTCTACAGTGGCTGGGCGGCATGT